GTTTTTTTATTTTTTGTCTAAATGTCTGAAAGAAACGTTGATAATTCCCACAAGCTACATGTCAGTGCTGCCCTCTTGTGTCAACACACGTGGTCTGGTGATTTTATCTCTTATAAATCCTCTTCTGTATTAATTACCAGTAAATCAAAATGACTCCAGAGAATTAAAATATTTGTTTAATGCATTTAATACAAACCAAACAACTGTATTTGTTGCTAAAMCCAGCTGCAGGTTTAATGTGTCACCTCTGGTTCTTTGTTCACCSGTAAAGTTGAGTAAATTTAGTTGTGGATGTTTGGGGGGGTCATTTTAAAGTCAGTAACTGGTTATAGGACCAGTATGCACTCTAAAAATGAAATGTTGGATTTACTTAACCATGTTATGTGACCTGGTTCCACTTAACTGAGTTGAGTAAATTCAAAGCAACATATGTTCTTTGGCTAAAAAACTCTTATATTGCTTTGAATTTACTCAACTCAGTTAAGTGGAACCAGGTAACATAACATGGTTAAGTAAATCCAACATTTCATTTTTTACAGTGTGTGTGTCCTCCTTCCTTCGCTGCTCTCCTCCTCCTATTCTTCCTTATTGATGACATTTTTAAAAAGCGTGAGCAGAGGCCTCTGGCTGTGTTCRTCCCAGCTCTTCATGAAGCCCCCGTAGCGTTTGCTTGCCATGGGCCGGCCCCCCCAGCGGAAGTGCTTCATCTTGTACGGCGCGTCTTTTCTGTCGTGGAGCTCGTTGGAAAGCTTCTCCGCCTCCTCTTTCGCCACCTTCTCCTCATCCTCGACGGCTGCCGTCTCCCTGGAGAGCTCCCGCCTCCTTGCCTCTCCGGGGAAAAGCTCGGCCGACTCTTCCTCGGCGCCGTTCCCCGGGAGGATCTTGATGGGGCGGCGCTTCCGCCCCAGAGGCTTCCCCCAGCGGAAGTGCTCCATGGAGTAGGAGCGTCTGGCCTGAGGCGTGGAGGTGGAGGAGGGTAAAACGGAAAGCGGGTCTGACGAAGGGAGAGGCTGAAGATGGGCGCTGGCGAGGACGGCGGCCATCTTGTGTAGGTCGGACTGACAGAGCTGGAGACAYTCCTGCAGGAAAAAAAAAAGGAGAAAAAGTTTTAAAGTCCTCATTAAACTAAGGAAACAAGGAGGTAAATATGGAAATTTAGATCAGGGAAAATCTAATCTTTCATTTTTATTCTTTCTGATATAGTTTGTGTCAAAAAGGAAAAAGCTTTTTTTATAGGAAATAAATGACGTAAACATTGAGTTAGGTTAAAAAATGTGATGATACTATGGTTTTACAACATTAAAGTGCTTATAAATGTTACCACTCTCAGCCACGACCACAGCAAATAGCAGTGTGGGGGACAGTTAAATTTAGAGGGTGGGGGGGGGGGGGGCTGGCATTATGCCCACTGACCACCCCTTAGACGTGCCCCTGCTCACACAGACATTTAAAACATTTTAAATTGGTTTACAACCATATTTAAGCTAACTTAAGATTGTCCCAGAAAGCCGCTCTATGATGATGACATCATCCCAACTTGAGCTGAGGACACTAAATGATGCACAAAGTAACAAAAAAAGTGTCTAATTTTGCAAACAGAATCACACCGAATGAGATTTGTTCTCAGATATGTGTGTTTACCTTCATGCTGCCCTCAGAGTGGAGCTCCAGACAGCTGGGATGCTCCCAGCAGTGACTGTGCGCTCCTCTGGCCACGCCCACCACGGCCGCAGCCACCAATAGCAGCACAGGACGCATTCTGATTTAACAAAATAAAAGCCTGTCAGTCCGGTACAATCAGCGACAAATTGAACTGAAATCTTTTGGGTTTTGATATTTTTAAAATAACCTTTGACACATTTTATAATTCATTTATATTTTCAATAAAATGAAAACAAAAGATCTAAATTATCTAAACTCAAAACACAAAATAAGTTTTACAGAGCAAAAGATTTTTTTTTGTTGATGTGAAATGTTTTTATTTAAACAAATATTCAAAATAAGATCAGAAGAAACTCACCCTCTGTCTTTTCTTCCTCTTTCTGCTCTTCTTTTAGTTTTTCTCCCAACAAAGATTTCAGCTGTTGTCTCCACTTGTGTCCCTCTGATCGATCTTTTTTGACTTTATACTCTTACAGACAAGGACACGTAAACAGATGATGACGTTATTACTTCTCTCCATCCTTTTTTCACTCATTCTCCCCAACAATAACCATTTTTTAATGGACAATCAATTAGATGTTCTTATTTTCCATCCATCCAAACCCCACTCGTCTCCTAAAAATATATAACCACATTCGGGAAATATTCTCCAACAGCACAAAAGTCTTAATTAAAGAAAATTRTAAAAGCTACAAAAGTTGTTTTCCCATTTTAATAGCTGGGGCTTTCAAGCTAAAAACAAATAAAAACATTACAGTAACTCAAATTTGTCTTACATATGTGATCACTTTAAATATGTTCCTTAGTACCAATTTATATGAATTTTAAACCAGTTCATTCAGACTTCAGATTAATGTATATAGATTTTATAGTGATTCATATAATATATGCAGATTTTATGCCAGTTTATGTAGATTTAAGACCTATTTATATAGATTATAAACCAAATATCATATGAAAATGTTTGATAATTTTATAAAGATTATAGACCAAATTTAGACTTCACACATTTGCATAAATTATACACTATTTCTTATACATTTTAAACTTATAGCATGAATTTTGGACAATTTCTTAAAGAATTAGGAACAATTTTTATGGATTTTAGCACAGTTTTTATAAACTTTATACAACCTTGTGAGTTGAGGTTATATCATTACGCTTATTTTTTTTCCAGCCAACATCAAAGCATCAGAGATGGACAGATGTGTATTTTATTGCATATTCAGTTTGTATTTGTGGTATTATAAGACTGTTTCAATTGTTTATCCAGTAATGCACTTTAATTGCAACAGCTGATTAAAAGTCCTACAAACAGAGTTTATGCTGTCAGTCAAATATCTTCTAAAGTGTTTAGAGTAAACTCAGATATTCTGCAGATAAGTGGTGACTGAAAACTTAAATGTTTTAGCTCTTTATCACTAATGGAACAACATGAACAGCTCCAGGAGGCAGGCAGGTAAATATAAACCCATTAGTGACTGTCTGACCTTGAAACATTCAGTCCATAACACAGATAAAAGTTTGTAACGGAGGAAATAMGGACAAAACGGAGACGTAAAAAGTCACTTTGACTCAAAATGAAAAAATAATGGATTTTTTTTTCACAAAGTCTTTCAGCTTTTTTTCTTTTTCAGTCTGTGCCTGAAGTTTACAGACTTTTATTTAGCTTTTCTAACATGTTTTAATAGTGTCCTCTATAATGTCCAAGTTCATGTTTATACTTTTAGGAAGTCAGAATCAATCAAACACAAAGCACAGATACTGAACAACAAACAGAGACATGGAGGAAACTGAAATGATACAAAACGTAAACGGACATTAATATTCAAATAATTAATAATAAAATATATGGAATTGCACATTTAAGTGTGACTTTCTGTTTGGGAGTATACAGCGGGTAAAATAAGTATTGAACACGTCACCATTTTTCTCAGTAAATATATTACTAGAGGTGCTAATGACATGAAATTTTCACCAGATGTTGGTAACAACCCAAGTGATCCATACATACAAAGAAATCAAACCATAAATGTCCAGAAATGAAGTTATTTGTAATAATGTGGAATGGCACAGGGAAAAAGTATTGAACACATGAAGAAAGGGAGGTGTAAAAAGGCATGGAAAGCCAAGACACCAGCTGAACTCTCTCAGTAATTAGAAAACAAGCCTGCCCCTTGTCAGTGCAAGTTAATATCAGCTGGTTCAGTCCCAAATGATGGCCAGGTATCACACAAGAACCATCTGATGATGGGTAAAAGTAAAGAGCTCTCTCAAGACCTTCACAACCTTATTGTTGCAAAGCATAATGATGGCATCGGTTACAGAAGAATGTCTAAACTTCTGAAGGTTCCAGTGAGCACTGTTGGGGCCATAATTCAGAAGTGGAAAGAACATTATTTCACCATAAACCGACCACGACCAGGTGCTCCTCACAAGATTTCTGACAGAGGAGTGAAAAGAATTATCAGAAGAGTTGTCCAAGAGCCAAGGACCACTTGTGGAGAACTTCAGAAAGACCTGGAATTAGCAGGTACGWTTGTTTCAAAGAAAACAATAAGTAATGCACTGAACCACCATGGCCTGTATGCACGCTCACCACGCAAGACTCCACTGCTGAAGAAACAGCATGTTGAAGCTCCTTTAAAGTTTGCTGCACAACATTTAAACAAGCCTGTGTAATACTGGGAGAATATAGTCTGGTCAGATGAGACCAACATTGAACTGTTTGGATGCCAGAATACACATCATGTTTGGAGGTCAAATGGYACTGCACATCAGCCCAAAAACACCATACCAACAGTGAAGTTTGGAGGTGGGAACATCATGGTGTGGGGCTGTTTTTCAGCATATGGTACTGGCAAACTTCAAATAATTGAAGGAAGGATGAGTGGAAAAATGTACAGAGACATTCTTGATAAAAATCTGCTTCCATCTACCAGGATGATGAAGATGAAACGTGGCTGGACATTTCAGCAAGACAATGAGCCCAAACACAAAGCCAAGGAAACTCTCAGTTGGTTTCAGAGAAAGAAACTAAAGCTGCTGGAATGGCCCAGCCAATCACCTGACCTGAATCCAACAGAAAATCTATGGAAAGAACTAAAGATCAGAGTTCATAGAAGAGGTCCACGAAACCTTCAAGATTTGAAGACTGTTTGTGTGGAAGAATGGGCCAAAATCACACCTGAGCAATGCATGCCACTAGTTTCTCCATACAGGAGGCGTCTTGAAGCTGTCATTGACAACAAAGGCTTTTGTACAAAGTATTAGATAAATTTCAGTAAGTGTGTTCAATACTTTTTCCCTGTGCCATTCCACATTATTACAAATAACTTCATTTCTGGACATTTATGGTTTGATTTCTTTGTATGTATGGATCACTTGGGTTGTTACCRACATCTGGTGAAAATTTCATGTCATTAGCACCTCTAGTAATATATTTACTGAGAAAAATGGTGACGTGTTCAATACTTATTTTACCMGCTGTACGTGTTTGTTCCAGTTTTATTGACACTCCATCATTTAACACAAATGCTGAGATTTCAGTGCAACAAACAGCTTTGACCCACTTCTTATACTAACCTAGTGATATCATGTTGACTTCCATTAGTTTTTTTAGTTTTTTAATTCATTCATTTTTCAATTTCTTAAAAAAACAAATTCTATGTACAATAAAAATTCAAACCATAAATAAAAGGTGGCAGAGGAAGAAAACAATCTTAGAATATCGGCCCCTTTTCACAAACAATTAAATTTAAACAAAATAGTCTTCAAATAACAAAAAATAAAAATAGAAATAAACAAAGGTTAAACTCAGAACAACTTGTATTAATACACATTATATATGTACATATTTCTCCAGTCTAACTTTTATCATTCTCTTAAACGTACCCATTGCTTTAGCTCTTTTTACGTCATCTTCCAGATTATTCCATAATTTTACTCCTTGAATCGATAAACACCGTTCTCTCAAACTAGTCCGAAACTTAGGTCTCACAAACATTTCTATCCCCTTAAGGTTGTACAAACTCTCTCTTTTAACAAAATTTAACTGAATATTTGAAGGTAATGTGTTTCCATGAGCCCGATACATAATTGATACGATGCTATAATCAACCAAATCATAAAATTTCAATAACTTCAACTGAAGGAACAATGTATTTGATGGGTGACTGTAATACCTTCTTGTAATAAACCTTATGGCTCTTTTTTTGTAAAACAAAAATAGGATTTATAATTGTATTACATTTTCCCCAAAGCTTGATACAATAGATTAAATGTGGAACAATTGTTGCATTATACAGTATAAACAGAGCTTTATCATTGAATAATTTGTTAACTTTTTACAGTCCTGCATTAGATCTGGCTATTGTCGTTCTTAAAAGATTTATGTCAGTTTTTCATCAATGATGACACCAAAGACTGACTCTGCAAAYCTCAACACCATCAATTTTAAATGAACTTTCAATATTACTCTTTCTCTATAATTAGTCTTATCCACGTTTAATGATAATTTGTTAAGTTAATAAGTGATCAGGAACTATTTTTTTTTATTTCCCCATCAGAAACAGTTGTGTTGTTTTAATTTTGTCACTCTGCTGTAACTTGTACTCAGATTACTCTGTGTAATTCATTACCTCTCAGTTGAAAGGCTGCCAATCCTTTTAGCAGATTATTGGGATAGGATGTCATACCCGGTACTGAACCTACGCAAACACACACACACACACAC